GTGTAGACCTCTTTTAACCGTCTGGTTTTAGTGGTGCAACGGAGTCCAAGAGGCTAGACAGAGCTGTGTTTAATTTAGTAGTACAAATTTCGATGGAGTCAATTGCTACAGTGAACGCAGCGAGGGCCTCGAGTGTGGTAAATACATTTGCGCCATTAATGTGTGGACAGGCTGGTGTTGCTTCAAACTTGATAAAAAAATGATAAGAGATTGCAGAAGTGACGAGAGAGACAGTCAGACTAGATACCTCAATTCCACGGGATAGGATCAAGTCTAGAGTGTTGCCATTGCAGTGAGTTGGTTCAGCCTCAAACTGGGTGAAACCAAAAGTGTCAATAATTGCTTGAAAGGCTTTACTTAGAGGATCCCAGGCCTTATTCAAGTGAATATTTATCTCGCTCTTAAATCACAACAGCTCCTCAACAACAAGCGGCTTCATTACAATCAGCTGATCGGAGTGTCACATGTGTGCGCTCATGTGTGGAAGCATCGGTTTATATACGTTAAACTGTGACAGGCAAATTAAATTAGTATTAATTTAATACTACAAATAATACGTTACCATATTAATGGTAAAACAAGTCAAATATCACCTTGACATTTGCGAAGACATGAGCAATCGGCGATCGTTCTGATGATCATCGATCACCGATATCATCGTCCATCGGCACAACCTTAATACTAGACTTTTTTATGCCTTACTACTTTATGACTTATGACTAGAGCCCGACTGATATTGGATATTGTATTTTTGGGGCCGATACCGATATTAGGGAGTAAAAAAAATCGTATATGTATTTATACACTTGTGAAAAAGATATGTAATAAAAACAGGATATTTTACAGTTGAACAATAAACTTTATTGTCCAAAATTACATCAATCCACTGAAACAGTAAATTTCACAGCCCCACACCATGATGTTCCCACCTCCAAACTTCACTGTCGGTATAGTGTTTTTGGGGTGATGTGCAGTGCCATTTCTCCCCCAAACATGGTGTATGCTATGACATCCAAAGAGTTCAATTTTGGACTCATCTGATCAGACTATATTCTCCCAGTATTTCATAGGCTTGTCCAAATGTTGTGCAGCAAACTTCAAATGAGCTTCAACATGCTTTTTCTTCAACAATGGAGTCTTGTGCAGTGAGCGTGCATAGAGGCCATGACGGTTTAGTGCATTACTTACTGTTTTCTTTGAAACAACTGTACCTGATATTTCCAGGTCTTTCTGAAGCTCTCTGCGAGTGGTCCTTGGCTCTTGGACAACTCTTCTGATTATTCTTTTGACTCCTCTGTCAGAAATCTTGCGAGGAGCACCTGGTCGTGGCCGGTTTATGGTGAAATTATGTTCTTTCCACTTCCGGATAACGGCCCCACGGTGCTCACTGGAACATTCAGAAGTTTAGAAATATGTCTGTAACCAATGCCACCGGTATGTTTTGCAACAATAAGTTTGCGAAGGTCTTGAGAAAGCTCTTTGCTTTTACCCATCATGAGATGCCCATTGTGTGACACCTTGGTAATGAGAAACCTTTTTATAGGCCATCAATTAGGACTAAACCAGCTGATATTAATTTGCACTGATAGGGGGCAGGATTGCTTTGTAAATACTGACAGATTTCAGCTGGTTTCTTGGCTTTCCGTGCCTTTTTGCACCTCCTTTTCTTCATGTGTTCAATACTTATTCCCTGTGTCATTCCACTTTATTACACATAACTTAATTTATGGACACATATGTTTTGATTTCTTTGTATGTGTGGATAACTTGGGTTGTTACCGACATCTGGTGACAATTTCATGTCAACAGCCCCATCAGAAATATATTTACTGAGGAAAATGTTGACGCATTCAATACTTATTTTACCCGCTGTATATGTCAATATATGATATTGTTCCAATTTCTAACAGGTTTCATATGTATTTTTTTTTTTTACATATATAGGCTATACTGTGTATATACATATGGTTTTACTTCATATGTATATTTTTTTTGCATTGTCTCCTTGTTGAGCCTCTCTTCCCATGTGAAGCTGTATGTATGGGGCATAGTCATGCCTATGACATGCCATTGTTTGGGGGTTGCAGTTGCGGTACTGGACATAAATGTATAATGTAGCTTCAGTGAAGAGCTGAAACAAACAGAGAGGTAATCTGAATCCTGAGTTACATCTTGTATCTTATATATTTTGTAGAAAAGACTAACAGGCAAGTGTTTGAGTGCTTCATCTGGCACACTTGAACTCGCTAGAACTAGAACAAGCTTGTGCAACCTCAGCTGGTGACTAAGGTTATTCTCTGTGCACTGTCCCTTCCTTTTCCTGTGATACAATGCTTCATGAAAACCATAGTACCAGCATGCTTTGTATTGTAAGTAAGATGAATCCCTCTGGGGATGAAACCACACGGACTGTCAGAAAAGAGATGGGTGCACACAGAACTTTTTGTGACAACATGCAGTTAATTTTTCTCTCTTGGTAGCTACAACAGTAGAGTGAACTGCAAAGCTTAAGTGAGGAACCTGTGAGGCAAAGAGAAGGAAGCAGAAGACAGAGTCCTGTATAATTTCTTGCTTCATAGTTGAAATGAAATTCAAAAGGCCAAAAACATATTTACCCTGTTGAACTTCTTCAATAGTTTCCAGTATGTAACAGCAGAAAATGCAGTAGTTTCATGTTCCACATAATTTGGAAAAGAGTCTGCAGCCTTGCTAACTGTGCTGTGTGGCTGTACTGAAGCACAGCAATGCTTTGAGCTAAGTGCTAACATCTGCATGCTAACACGGCCACAATGACAATTCTAACATGCTTGCTAACATATGATGTTTAGCAGGTTAAGTTTAGCTTGTTAGCACGGCAACACCAGACTGTATCTTTTTTTTTTTCTTTAAAAAAAGAAAAAAAAAAAAATTCAAAGTGTGTCAAATTGTTCTGGTTGTTTGTTTAAACATTTGCATGCTTTGAATATAAGCACATTGAATCTCTCCTGGGGACTATAATAGAAAGTGAGTTAAACAAACTCTGAATTTAACCCTGAACTCTGAGTTGACTAAACCTGAGATGTAAAACTTCATCAGTGGAGATCTGATACTATGATTCACCATGGCAACAGCTTAATAAAGAGCAGAACCTCCATTTTAATCCAGTGCAGCCAGAAAGATAAATCTTTGACAATGCACATGAAAAAACAGCAGCAGTGAAAGAGCAAAGAGTCAAAGTTAACACTATTACATTTTACTCAGCATAGTCCACTGATTAATTTATATTGATATTGATAAATATATTAATGCAGTAACCTGATAGGTACAAAGTGTTGGTGGCAGCAGTTTGTTTATAGACGTATTGTAACTTCATTGTCCAAACCAGTAAAAATGATCCTGGAGATCAACAGTTGTAAAGGCACCTACCTTTAAAAAATTACTGTAAATTATAGATTTATAGGACTTTTAGATTATAGGCAGATATTTTACATTTAAAAGTCATGCTCAACAGCATTTACTGACTATACTTCAACAAATAAATTTAAACATAGTCACTAAAATGCTGTTAAACACACGTTAATATACTGTCTTTGCAGCCTGTATTCAAAACTCACTTTTAAAGTACACTCACCAAGAACTATAGAATAATACTAATACTGGTTAGGGCCTCCCTTTGCTCTCAAAGCAGCAACAAGATGAGGGAAAGTTTTCTTTGAGATCACACCCCGTTTACATGACTGCATCGCATTCTGCAGATTTGTCAGTTGCACATTCATGCTGCTAATTTCTCGTTCTACCACATCACACAGGCCACTGAAGGACTGACCTCCTTTTGCTTTGTGACATGGTGCATTATCACGCTGGAAGTAGCCATTAGGAGATGGTAAACTGTGGCCATCATGGGATGTCAGCAGCAATACTCAGACTGTGACATTCAGATAGATAGATGGATAGATAGATAGATCCCCACACCTTTACACCTTTTTATTTGTACTGTGGTTTTCAATAATGACACCTTAGTCTAACTTGAATGAGATTGTTGTTTCTCTCCTTGGCATGTCTGACACTGGGTGTGGCTCTAGCGGCTCGGCAGGATTGCTTGCTCAACATTTCAGGTTTGTCATGCAGTTTGACACCTGATTTGTCTTGTCACAGACTCTTCAGGATGACTAACTTACTTCTCGTGTAGATGATGCAATCTGTACTCTGCGACTTCAGGTGAATAGTCTTCCTTTATGCTGCGACATCCATCTATAATGGTTTTGCTCACCCTTCTTAGACTTACATGTTTTTCTGAGCTCCATCTTCACATTTTCCATGGGAAACGCATATGTGATTGTGTTCACATAAGCGTTGTCATTCAGCTTTGGATTCATTGGCGCCCTCTAGTCAACAGCTCTGTGTACATCAACTGATCCCAGCTTTCATACATTCAGTGTGAAACATTGCAGCCAAAGTCAAGTCAGTCACTGAGATTACATTTTTCTCTATTCTGATGTTTGATTTGATCATTACCTGATGCTCCAGACCTGTAGCTGCATGACTTCATGCATTGCACTGCTGCCACACGATTGGCCGATTGGATAATTGCATGAATAAGCAGGTGTGCAGGGGTTCCTGTTAAAAATTCTCAGGTTTTTCAGGTGCAAATAAATAAAATTTGCTTTGTTTTACTAATGTTTGCAAATTAGCACTAAGCAAAGTATGTCTGAGGCTGGGGAATGTCATTAGTCCTTCAGGTATGTTGCCTTAAACCAAAGTGTTGAACAAATTAATAAATAATAAATTTTGACTTGATCAGGGTTCCTACACATTTTCCATTTCAAATTTCTGTTTTTGCTCTGTCATGATTGGATATTGAGTGGAATGATGAGGGAAGAGAGGCGGCAACATAAAATGTGAAAAACACTGGTCTGAACTCAGTGTGTGTTGCCAAAGGATTGTAGTTAGGTACTGTAGTCCATAACAATCAATTAACACCAAAGCCAGACAAGTGTGAAAATCAAATGCAAACACGATGATATTATCAAAATAGATTTTATTCTAGACCTTGAGATCTGAGTGATTTTACAACAGTCAGATCAGGAGGCTGCAGACCAGCAACCATGTGAGTGAGAGAGAAAGAGAGTACAACATAGGTGAGGGCAAAGACAACACAAAAAAAAAATCTGCAAATTGGTATTTACATGTTCTGTGTTATAATACATCAACAATTAAATCCAAATTTTATATTTTTGTTCATTTTGAGTACATAGCTACAAATAAATCAGAATTACAAAAGTTTTGAGAAGTACAAAACCTTCAAGGGCTCTCCGACATAGCAAAGATAGAGTCAACATTAGTACTTTCGGTAGGAACAAAAAATAGCAAACACGCTTGACTGCAGTGTAAAAAGCTTATCATCTAAAAACAAACCATTATAAAATACCATTCCACTGTCATAGACATCATTTGAAATAGTGTCTTTGTGGTACAGTCCAATCACTGCTGACTGCATTAAAGCAAACTTCAAAATAGTCTATAGCTTCAGTACAAAAATTTTTTTTTTTTTTTCTTTTTTAAAAACGAGCAACATTCTGAACAAAATCTCTGAAACTTCTGACTGTGTGTGTGTGTGTGTCTGTGTGTGTGTGTCTGTGTGTGTGTCTGTGTGTGTGTCTGTGTCTGTGTCAAGCCGTTAGATGTTAGTTATGGCTATGAGATGAAGTTGGCTTGGTTCGTCTAACCTTGAGGAGTTGAGACAAGACACCTTTCCCCCCTCGTCTCCCCACTGGAACACTTCACGCCACACGTTCTGCATCAATTCTGATTCATCGTTAAGAGCATTTTCAACATTAGGTGTGTCTATGATGACTTGAATAAACACACCTCCGTTTCTCCATTTTTAGCCTAAAGTGCAGAGAAAAAAGACCCTTCAAAGGGCTGCTCTTCTTTTTGTTTTTAATTCGCTATGACTGTTTAATGGTATTTTATAAAAACCATTCCTCATGGTCACGACCCCTGGTGATGCACAAAAACATCACATACTGTAGTTCAAGCGTCTTCAAAAAGTTACTTTAAAATCCACCCTCAGCACACAAGTGGCATACAAAAGAATCCCCTGTGATAGCACAGATATATATTTATATATATATATATATTATATGCAGATACCATGTTACATGAAGTCATATGCTGCGAGTCTGCTCTGTAACAACAAGCATAGACTTGCCTCAAAACAGCAAGTCTGAACACTACAAACAAAAGCGCCGTCTATCCGTGCATAGGCCTGAACACAGCCTGTCTCCAGAGAGTGTGTATGTGTGTTAATGCTGGGCAACAACAGCAAACCAAAGCAAGGACTGTAGTGTGTACTTAGGTCAACACTGGATACGAAAGCTGCACACGTTACAGAGTGAAAGTTTTAAGCTGACTCGTGGTTGTGAAGGTCTGCTCAACATGACCAACTGATGTGAAGTGTGCAGTTTTCGATTCACTGTCTCAGTCGTGATGTGAGCGAATGTTGAGTTGTGTTTACGAAGGTGCGATCCAAAACCCTGTGCCTGCAGAGGGAGTGGCACTCCACATGATGTCCTGATGTTTAATGACCAAGCACAATTAGACCAACTTAGTCTGATTATCATTAAGCATTGGATACAAGCACAATTATGACTATTAATTGTTTACGTCAGATGGATTCAAGCCGTTATGGGCTTGTTTTCCCATATCTCTCTCGCCCTCTCTCTCTCTCTTTCCCCACAGAAGCTGCATTGACGCCAGAAAGCAAGCTATTGCTGTGCCACGTTACCTCACTACTGACACAAAAGCATGGCCGTCTACTCGTAAGCTTAGGACGCAGGTCCAGGACGAGCTCAGTTTCAATGACAGGAACCTCAAGCTGACTGCACATTAACTGTCTTTCTGCCCAGCACGCTGTTAGAACATGAGATTGACATGGAGTTTAACAGCTACACAGATTATCTCTCAGCCTGGAGGTTTTGAATTCTTTAGAGCTCTATATTAACCTGATGAATTGTGAAAACCTGAAAACCATTTCTGAGGATAAAAGTTGCAAAAACAAAGGACAGTTCACCCTTTGATTAACTGCTTTAGACTTTGTTAAAAATGGCAAATGGAGCAAATCTATTCGATAAAAATAGTTGACAAAATTATAAACCACTTCATCTTCTGAGCTATACATCTGCATTTTTGAACCTTGAAGAGTGCCAAGAAAAAAGATGAATGGATCTCCCAATGAACAGCTTCGAATACCAATTGTAAAAGACAAACAACTCTCAACCCCCCCTCCCTTCTCTCCCAACCCACATGTAATATAAAACCTACAGTAAAATCCAAATTCAAAACAACAATGTCCACAGGACACCAGATGCTGACATATGCAATATGCACACACCAACAGAGAACAAAAATCTTTATAAATCTGGTACAAAGGATAAAAAGAGGAAAGCAAGAAGAATCCTGGTGTTTTGGTTTGTGTGTGATGGGTCCAACAAGGTCATACTGAGTGTACAAACTGCAGGTTTCTCCCTGCAGGTCTGTGAGAGCAACGCAAGTGTCCATACACACCTGTCAGACAGGTACATAATGACTGTATGTAGCGAAGGTGTGGTCCTTGTGTGTACATGAGGAGGAGGGGGGAGGCTCTGTTTGGCTGTAATGGTGGGCCATGGCATCTGATGGGACTACAGCAGTGTGGCGGACAGGCAGGGACAGTCAGTCATTTTGGCTATGTACACATTCGTAGTCGGTCCATGGCTCCCGCAGACGAGCGTCATTTCCTCAGGTCTAATACACAAACCTGAAAAAACAGGAATTAGCAGACAGTTAGAAACAACGCTACTGTTTCTACCACGTCAGACCTCTAACTGACACAGACAGGAGGTTTCATTTATCATCAGTAACTTCAGATATTAGTTCCTTTTTTTTTTTAAGACAAAAAGTTTCTACTAGGTTTTGTTTGGATTTTTTTTAGTTGCATGTAAATTAAAATTCATTGTTAATACAGTTAGTGTGAATGAAAGCCAGACAATTACTGTGTCAAGCACACACAAACATGACAGGCACCTGATGGAAAATGCATTCTGTCAAAGCAGACAAGCCGATCATAAAAGATTTCATGTTGTGACTTGGTTAGGGCAAACAATTGATTAAAAGTAAAGTTTGAACACCTGCTTTGTGTCCAGAAGTGTAGAAATTGGACAATAACATGATGCATATTCAGAGCCTTTATCCAGTATTTTGCAGAACCTCCAGTGGCAGGCATTTCAGTGTCAAGTCAGTTAGGCTGAAAAGCATCAATGAACTGAGATTTCCTGGTTTCTGAGCAGATTTCCAATAGGGTCAGATTTTGGCTCAGCAACTTAATGACATTCAGATGCTTGTTCCCAAACCACCTCGGTGTGTCTTGTCTATCTGCTGTAGTGCTGCAGTGCAGACTCTGAAACTTTCTTCAAGGGTCTCTGTATATAATGCTCTTATCCTGGACAGTCTCCCAGTACCTGTGGCTAACAGTGTGTTTTTTTTTTTTGTTGTTTTTTTAAGCACTTCCTTTTAGTGTTACTTGGCTAACAACCAGGTGGCTGCAGTATCCCTTTAACTGTGTAGATACTTCTGTCTAGCAATCCACCAGAAACGCCTGACTGATGGGGTGTTGCTGTCATCTCCCTGATCACAGCACTTCTTGCACGGCTACTAAATGCACTCCCCAGGTTGATGCTGCAAAACTGGTCCATGTCCAAGGTTTTATGGAGCATTCCTGGGAGACTGGTTTGTACCAGTTTGGAAACCTTTGATTGAGCTCAGTATGCTAGATCATTGTGGGGCATTACCATGTAGAAAGATAGCCCCAAAATAAATGAGTGCATTTGATTATTAGCATTATTATTGATAAAAATACTACTTAATTTCAGACTAAAACTCTAAAACAAAAAGTGTG